GTCTGGAGGAAGCCTTGATAATGTGCATTTCTAACTAACTGCCAGGTGATGCTGCTGCTGCTGGTCCAGGGATCACACTTTGAGAACCACTGCTTAAAAACAGTCATAAGGGCGCCTGGGTGGCTCAGTGGGTTAAAGCCTCTGCCTTCTGCTCCGGTCATGATCCCAGGGTTCTGGGATCGAGCCCTGCGTCGGGCTCTCTGCTCAGCAGGGAGCCTGCTTCCTCCTCTCTCTCTGCCTGCCTCTCTGCCTGCCTCTCTGCCTACTTGCGATCTCTATCTGTAAAATAAATAAATAAAATTAAAAAAATAAATAAATAAAAACAGTCATAAGCTTCGGAGTCAGTCATTCCCAGGCCCAAAGTTTTGGCTGTATGACTTACTCCTGTGTGAACCCAATCAGGTTTTTAAACTGATACGTCTCCGTGTTCTGTACTTTATTTATTTACTTATTTATTATTTTTCAGTTTCCTGTACTTTAAATTGGTGATCATAATACTTATTTCACAGAGTCATTAATTACTTAATATAAAAAAATGTAGCGTACTGTTTGGTACACTGTAAACACTCAATTAATGGTTTCTATTGTTATGTAATAAGTCTGGGTCCCAATTAAAAGTTAATGAGCCATACATTCAGTAAATGTTTTAGAGTAGATACCCAGAGACTTTTTGTTGCTTCGTCATTTTGAGATGCTGAAGTGTGTGTGGGCGCACACACACACATTCGTACTCACAAACATATTCCTCTCTTGACTTGCCTTCTCATTTATGGGAAACCTGGCAGAACAGTGAGAGAAGAAGAGACAAATTACAAAAGGGATTCCACTTCCAAGATTCAATTAACTATATTTTACTTCTATTAATCTCAGGCTTCTATTGTATATTGAAGTAAAGGTGGACAATATTTTTAAAAAGAGCATATTTCAAAATAATGTGACAGCTGCCAACTGCTAAGATAAAACTGCTTATGAATTGCCCTTGTGTATGTTGTGTTAAGTGGTAGAAGGAGGAGAGAATAGGATGCTGGAGGTAGTATGGGTGGAAGGGAGGAATCTATGTGAAAGATTCTTCTAAACTCTGGGTTAGCCATATCCAGGGCTAGTCACAGTTCCTGAGGAGGTCTGCAGAATGAAGTTACAGAGGTGTATCTCTTAGCTGATCTTCTGCATGCACAATTTATAGAAAGACTATTCAAATAATGTTAGCACTTACTCATTTTCCAATTATATGTTTACCATGTTAGGTGCCATGGAGACTTGATTAAACTTTAGAAATTGTGTAGAAGGGGGCGCCTGGGTGGCTCAGTTGCTAAGCATCTGCCTTTGGCTCAGGTCATGATCCCAGGGTCCTGGGATCAAGCCCCACACTGGGCTCCCTGCTCAGCAGGAAGCCTGCTTCTCCCTCTTCCACTCCCCCTGCTCCTTCTCTTGCTGTGTCTCTCTCTGTCAAATAAATAAATAAAATCTTAAAAAAAAAATGTAAAGAGATAGCTAATAAATACATGCTAAGATGCCTCACATTATTAGCTAATGAAATGCAAATTGAAATCAAAATGAGACACCACTTCACATCTAGTAGGTTGGCTGTAATATAAAAGACAATAACACATGTTGGTGAGGATGTGGAGCGATTGGAAGCCTCATATATTGCTGGTGGGAATGTAAAATGGTGCTATGGAAGATAGTTTGGCAGTTCCTCAAAAACTTAAACATGGCGTCACCAAATAGACCTGGCCATTCTACTCCTTGTTATGTAACTGAAAGAACTGAAAACATAGTAACTCAATAACTTGAACACAAATATTCACAGTAGCAAAATAAGTAGAAACAACCCAAAAAAGTAGAAACAACCCAAATGTCCATCAACTGATGAATTGATAAACAAAATGTGGTATATACAAATGCTATACAAAAGAATGAAGTACTGATTCATGTTATAACATGATTGGACTTTGAAAATACACTGCTAGGGCACCTGGGTGGCTCAGTGGGTTAAGCTGCTGCTTTCGGCTCAGGTCATGATCTCAGGGTCCTGGGATCGAGTCCCACATCGGGCTCTCTGCTCCGCAGGGAGCCTGTTTCCTCCTCTCTCTCTCTCTCTCTGCTTGCCTCTCTGTCCACTTGTGATCTCTCTCTGTCAAATAAATAAAATCTTTAAAAAAAAAAAAAAAAGAAAATACAGTGCTAAATGAAAAAAGCCAGATACAAAAGACTACATGTTATAAGATTCCATATATATGAAATGTCCACAATAGGCAAATCTATACAGACTGAACGTGGATTAATGGTTGCTAGGTGTTGTGAGAATGAGGGAATGGCGGTGGGGGGGGAGGACTGTTAATGGGCACAGAGTTCTTTTTGGAGTGATGAAAATGTGAAAAAAAAATAGTGGTGATAATTGCATAACCTTGTGAATATACAATTATCCTCTGAATTGTACAATTTCAAAGAATAAGTTTTATGACATGTGAATTATCTCTCAGAAATGAAAACCAAGGGGCGCCTGGGTGGCTCAGTGGGTTAAAGCCTCTGCCTTTGGCTCAGGTCATGATCTCGGGGTCCTGGGATCAAGCCCCGCATCGGGCTCTCTGCTCATCAGGAAGCCTGCTTCCTCCTCTCTCCCTCTCTGCCTATTTGTGATCTCTGTCTGTCAAATAAATAAATAAAATCTTAAAAAAAATGAAAACCAAAAATAAAATATATACCTGTAATGGGCATGAAGCATGAATGAGAAATAAACTTTGGTTGTCATAAAAAATAGTTCTGAGAAGAGGACGTGATTCATGGTAGATGTACTTTCTATGGAGAAACAAATCATCCTTCTATTAAAGATTCATAATGCATAGTAGCCCATCACAAGTTCTGAAAGCCTTGCAATGATGAAAACTTTATTTAGCTTCATTGAGCCATCATCTCCCAAACATTTCATCCTGAAAAACATTTACTCACGATGATCATGTGGAAGAACTAGTGCCCTAGAGGAGAATGAATCTTGGGCTTAAGCATATGTATGTAGGAAATACCCGGGAAGTTCTTTCCTTCCTTCCTTCCTTCCTTCTTTCCTTCCTTCCAACTTTTAAAAATTTAAGTTCAATTAATTAACATATAATGTATTATTGGTTTCAGAGGTAGAGGTCAGTGATTCATCAGCTTTCTAGAATAGCCAGTGCTCATTACATCACGTGCCCTCCTTAATGTCCAGCATCCAGTTACCCCATCCCTTTACCCCCTCCCCTTCAGCAGCCTATAGTATGTTTACCTGGAAAGTTTCTTTTTTTCTTCCCCCCAAAGATTTTATTTATTTATTTGAGAGAGAGAGAGAGAAAGAAAGAAAGCCGGGGTGGGGGGGTGTCAGAAGGAGAAGCAGAATCCCTGCTGAGCAGGGAGCCCAATGTAGGACTCTGTCCTGAGACTCCAGGAGCATGACCTGAGCCGAAGGCTGTCGCTTAACCAACTGAGCCACTCAGGCGCCCTACCTGGAAAGTTTCTTAAAACAGGTTCTGGACCTCACCCCAGTGATTCTGATTTCAGAGGTCTTGGGTACAGCCCGAGAATCAAGCTCCCAGGTGATTTGATACTTCAGGTTTGAGAACTAAACTTTGAGAAGGAGCTTTACAGAATAGACAAACCCTGTACCTTAAATGGATGAATTTTATGGCATGTGAGTTATATCTCAATAGAGATGCTAAAAAATTTGATATACTAGAAATAGCACTAAAATGTGAGTTCTAGTGATTTTGTAATGCAAGACCATGCTCTGTGAGTGAATTGTTTTAATTCAAATTTTCTTCACCTGTAAAACAAATCACTGCCCTATCTGCTATGTAGAGTTGTGGCAAAAACGAGGCAGTATACTCTTTTCCAAATTGTGTTCTATGGATAAAAATTTGACTTAAATAAAAAAAGTCCATGGTTAGTTAAGTTTGGGAGATTCTGAGTTAAATAATGTATATTCACTCTGTTGGTCAGACCAATATTCTTGACTTGGACCCTAACATGAGTCTATGTGTATAAAATCAATTAAATATGAGATTTTATTCATTCTAATTCTTATAGTGGATCCTCCACAGCTACTAAAGATCCATATGGAGTGGAAACTGTTTAAATAAACAAAATCTGAATAATATTGTGGGAATAGCAATACTTGGTCCTCTATTGTTTCAAGCTTGATATTTTATTGATTTATTTGAAAAATTATTGACTGAAAAGAATTTTAGCAAATGACTACTATGATAAAATAATGTTTATAAGGCTAAAAATATTTTATCTAGTTGTCTCTTTTAATCAACTTATATTTATAGAGCAACTTATTTTCAAAATTAGATTGAAGCTAAATTAAATATATCTAGAAAAATTTTGGCTCTCTAGTATTTTAATCAAAAAAGTATAGTTTTTCCTTACTTCTCCTTTCCTTAAATTTGGACTATTTTTTAAGCTTTTTAAAAAAATTTTTAATTTTTTAATTTTTAATTTTTTAAGCTTTTGAGACCCTTATTATCATTTTTATTTGAAGCTTTTATAATTAACTAAATGTTTTCTTATACAAAAGCTGTTTAAACTTTAGAATTTTGCTTCCTGGGGCTCCTGGGTGGCTCATTCGGTTGGGCGTTTGCCTTTGGCTGGGGTCATGATCCTGGGGTCCTGGGATCGAGCCCCACAATGGGCTCCCTGCTCAGTGGGGAGTCTGCTTCTCCCTCTTCGTCACTCCCTCTACTTGTCCTCTCTCTCAGTCAAATAAATAAAATCTTTTAAAAAAAATTTTAAAAATTTTTGTTTTCTTTTTAATTTTAGTTGAAAAGCATTTCTCCCCTAATTTTCTTTAGTGATCTGTTTTAAGCATTATTTTGATAAGCTATAGTCTATATTTAAACCTCTTTCTAGAACAATTTTATTGTATTTCTTGAAATTAGGTATATATTATTAACATGGCATTGGGAATGTATGTATATAGTTTGAAGACATCTTTTCGGGACCTTACTATAATAATACCTTTATTTCAGATGATGTGGAGAACCATCTTACTACGATATTGTTTTCTCTTGGTTTCCTGTCTACTTACTGCTATTGAAGCTGTGCCTATAGACGTAGACAAGACAAAAGTAAAAAATAATCAACCTGTGGACAGCGCAAAGATAGAACCACCAGTAAGTGAAATGATAAAGATAATCTTGTGGGAAGAATTTTAACCAAATGTTGCTAATATTTGTTACTTGTAAAATTGTACATTTAAGAACTATTTCTGAAATAGCAGTAAAAGAATATTGAATAAGCATATGTTGCTAATATTAGACATTGTTTATTTAATGTAGTTCATATATTAAATAATGCACAGGAGAATATTAATCATAATACATTTCCAATGAAGAGCTCACTAGCCAAGAAAACATTGTATTGTATTCAAAGAAGATACAGCAGTGAGTAGAGACAGGTGACAGTGGAGTAAAATCAACCAACTAATATTATTGATTAAGTCCTCATTATCTAAGCCATATAGAATATTTATCTTTATGTAAAAAAAAAAACTATATATTGGTTCTGATATAAAATTCCTCATTTGAGAAATGCAGCTTTTTAACTTTGTCCCAGCTATCAGAGTAGATGTGTCTCAATGCCATTTTGCTAGTCTTTTTTTTTTTTTTTTTTTTTTTTTTTAGGATTGAGATCTTTAGATGCAGGGAAGGAAAAGCTTTGAGAAACATTATTGTTTGTTTCTTAATTTGAAGGATACTGGACTTTATTATGATGAATATCTTAAGCAAGTGATTGATGTGCTGGAAACAGATAATCATTTCAGAGAAAAGCTCCAGAAAGCAGACATAGAGGAAATAAAGGTAAATGTAATTAAATAATTATTTAACAAACATTAGAACATCCCAGACACTGAATTAAATATTAGGAATATAAGATGAGGCTCTTATTTATTCTGAGTAAGTAATATCTAGAAAAAAGTTTATTAGCATGAAAATATGATGGGGGTATAATATATTTTGGAAATGTTGAGAATGGGCACATAATTCAGCAGTGGGGAAGTCATTTTTCCTGATAGAAGTAATAGCATCATGCCAATAATTTCCCTGGATTATTTTGAGAGTGATCTTATATTTCCTTTGAAGAATTAATTTGATCTATGGAACTAATGTCCTAGAGTAAATAATATTTAATGTAGAACTTTCAGTGTCTCTTATCTTCTTAAGTTAGGATTAAAACATTATTTATGGCAGGATGCCTGGGTGGCTCAGTGGGTTAAATGTCCAATTATTGGTTTCCACTCAGGTCATGATCTCAGGGTCCTGAAATTGAACCGTGTGTTGGGCTCCACGGTCAGTGTGGAGTCTGCTTGAAATTCTCTCTCTCCCTCTCCCCCTTCCCTTCCCTCCTCTCACTTTCTCTCTCTCTCTCTCTCAAATGAATAAATCTTTTTTTTTTTTTTAAAGAACATTATTTGTGGCTAACAGAAAAGGTGGTAATAGGAAGTACAATAGAGAGATAATCTTGGGGTATGGGAATACTTTTATAACTGTCTGCCTTTCACAATCAGTTCCTCTTCCCTGCTGGGTCAAGGGGAGATGAAAGTAGTAAGTTAGACAGTTATTCAATGAAAAAGTTATAAGAATTAAAATAGACAATAGGAATCATTATACATAGCTCAGGAAGACAGGAAAAACTGTCAGAAAAAAGTTAGAATTTGTCCTTACCTTTTCAGCTAAGTATTTTGGTCAGGTTTTTGTTTTGGGGTTTTTAAAGATTTTATTTGTTTATTTTGACAGAGAGAGAGGGAGAGAGCACAAGCAGAGGGAGTGGCAGCAGAGGGAGAGGGAGAAGCAAGCTCCCAGCTAAGCAGGGAGCCCAATGTGGGGCTCCATCCTGGGACCCTGGGATCATGACCTGAGCTGAAGGCAGAAGCTTAATGACTGAGCCACCCAGATGCCCCTCAGCCAAGTATTTTGAAAGGGGAATCATACTACATTTCTTCACTTCCCAAATATTGCTGACTGGAAAGATTATGGCTTTGCCCATATCACTCCACTGAATATACTTTCATGAAGGATGTCAGTGACTTCTTTTTTTTTTTTAAAGATTTTATTTATTTATTTGACAGACAGAGATCACAAGTAGGCAGAAAGGCAGGCAGAGAGAGAGGAAGGGAAGCAGACTCCCTGCCAAGCAGAGAGCCCGATGTGGGGCTCGATCACAGGACCCTGGGATCATGACCTGAGCTGAAGGCAGAGGCTTTAACCCACTTAGCCACCCAGGCGCCCCTGTCAGTGACTTATTAATTGCCAAATCCAGTGAATACTTTTTAAAAAAGATTTTATTTATTTGACAGATCACAAGTAGGCGGGGTGGGGGGGAGGCAGGCTCCCCAATGAGCAGAGAGCCCAATGTGGGGCTTGATCTCAGGACCCTGGGATCATGACCTGAGCTAAAGGCAGAGGCTTAACCCACTGAGACACCCAGGCGCCCCCAATGGATACTTTTTATTCCTCTTCTTACTGGACTCCTTTCTATCATCTTGGTGGTTCTCAGATTTTAGGCTTGTTGAAACACAGATTCCTGGGCCCCACCTATAGACTTTGTGATTCAGTAAGTCTAGAGCTTACATTTCTAAAGTTCGCTGTTGGTGCTAATGCTTCTACTTGGGGACCACATTTTGAGAACCGTTGTTATATGTAATAATGATGACTACTATCTCATTGAGTATATTGCTTTTTTTGCTTCTATAACAACAAATTCTGCTAGTTTTCCTTCTTACCTCTGAACATTCTTTCTTGGTCTCCCTTGTAGGGGGGTTCTTTCTTTATCTTCTGCAGTGGGCCCCATGGACTCAGTCCTAAAATGTTTGTCTGCCTGATTGCTAGTCAGATTTGCAGTTTGTGATTGCAAATGCACTTATAAACAAGAGAAAGTAAGCTATTAGCTATTTTGTTTCTTACATTTTAGAACATGTACTTACCTATGAGAAAAGTAATCAAAGGAGACAACCTTAAAAAGATTAATTTTGAAAAGTTATTTATATGTGTAATTACTAAAGTTTAAGGTGGCCAAGTTATTTTTTAAGATGACTTTATTGAAATGTAATTCACATACCTTAAAACTTGTGCCTTTAAAACATATAATTCAGTGGTGTATCTACAGGTGGCCCTCAGCACTATCTACTTTTAAACAATTCCGTTCCTCCCCAAAAGAAGCCGTGTGCCCATTAAGCTATCTCTCCCCATTTCCCTGCTCTTCTTGTCCCTTGGGAACCATTGATCTTCTTTCGATCTCTATGGATTTGCCTATTTTGGACATTCCATATAAATGGAATTATACAATATGTGGTCTTTTGTGTCTGGTTTCTTTGACCGAGCATAATGTTTTTCAAGGTTCATTGTATTGTAGCTTATATTAGTACATTCATTTCTTTTTATGACTGAACAATATCTCACTTTATGGATATTCCATATTTTGGTTATCAACTCATCAGCTGATGGACATTTGGTCATTTCTACTTTTATGCTAGTATGAATAATGCTGCTATGAACATTCAGGTACAAGTTTTTATGTGAACATATGTTTCAATTTTTTAGGTATATACCTAAGAATGGATTTGCTGGGTCATATGGTAATTCTGTGTTTAACTTTTTGAGGAACTGCCGAACTGTTATTCAAAGTGGCTGTACCATTTTGCAATTCCAGTTACTTTTTGAGTTTTTCCTTTGTGCTTTAATTATGCTTTCAATTGTATGGTTTTTATTTTTATCTTTTTCTTTCTTTCTCCAAAGTTTTATAAATTCCAGTTAACATGCAGTATAATACTAGTTTCAGGTACAGAATTTTGTGATTTGTCGTTTAGATACAACACCCAGTGCTCATTACAATAAGTATCCTCCTTAATACCCATCACTGTTTAAGCCATCCTCTGCCCACCTCCCTTCCAGTAACCCTCAGTGTGTTTTTCTGTAGTTTAGAGTCTCTTTTATGGTTTGCCTCTCTCCCCACCCCATATTCATCTACTTTCTTTCTTCAATTCCACATATGAGTGAAATCATGTGTTATTTGTCTTTCTCTGACTCATTTTGCTTAGTATAATACTCTCTAGCTTCATCCATGTCATTGCAAATGGCAAGATTTCATTCTTTTTCATAGTTGACTAATATTCCATTGTATATGTGTACACATCTCCTTTATCCATTGATCTCTTGAAGGACATTTTGATTCTTCCCATAATATATAGTTTTTACGTATCTTGCTTTTAGAGTTATAAACTGAGTATCTTTTAAAAGAAATCTTTTTGTAATATCACATTTATCTAAATTAGTCAAACGCATTTATCACTACTTTATCATAACCCTCATTTTAATATATTGTGTCTGATCTAAAAAAGGAATGTAATAAATAAAGCTAACTTGTTAATTTTAACAGAGTGGGAGGCTAAGCAAAGAACTGGATTTAGTAAGTCACCACGTGAGGACAAAACTTGATGAGCTGAAAAGGCAAGAAGTGGCAAGGTTAAGAATGCTGATTAAAGCTAAATTGGATTCTCTTCAAGGTAAGTGCTAAAGAAAAAGTAGGAAAGTTTCAGCATATGGTTGTTCAGGTCAGCTTATATTGTCACATACCATGTTCTTCTAGTCAAAATTTAATGTTAGTATTGATTTGTCTTGTCTTAATTTTTAAAATTTAGTTTTTAAAATAGGTAATATATTCACATCATTCAAAAGTCAAAATGATTAGCCTTAAATAATTATGTCAATGAAAAGTAATGAATTAAGCCACTGACTTAAAGGAGGAAGAATAACATCAAAGGAAACCAAAAGAGAGAAAATCTAATTATAACAATTTCCATAGATGAAATAGAAAAATTGTCAGAGATGCTCTAAGAAAGCCACACCAGGCCCAGAGAGTGTCAAAAGGAATTCTGTTAAACTATTAAAGAACAGATTCTCGGGGGCACCTGGGTGGCTAAGTTGGTTAAGTGTCCACCTCTTGGTTTCAGCTCAGGTCATGATCTGAAGATTATGAGATCGAGCTCCATGTTGGGCTCCACAGTCAGTGAGGAGTCTGCTTGGGATTCTCTTCCTTCTCTGTCCCTCTACTCCCTCTCTTTATCAAGTAAAAATAAATAAATCTTTTTTTTTTTTTAAGAACAGATTGTCAGTGCTATTTAAACTATTCCAGAGCATAGAAAAAGAAGGAAAGCTTTCATACTCTTAATATGTTATTGATGCCAAAACCAAAATTATTGTATATCAAAATAGCAAGTAGATTTATTTTAGGAATGCAAGACTGACTTAATATTAGGAAATCTAATACTATAAATCATCATATGAATAGAAATAAAGATAAAAAATTTTGGTATGACAAAAGGAATCAAGAAGTCAAAGGACAAAGGATAAGTTAGAATAAATCTTTGAAACTTCTGTCTTTAAAAATTAAGATTTGGGGGCACCTGGGTGGCTCAGTGGGTTAAGCCTCTACCTTTGGCTCAGGTCATGATCTCAGGGTCTTGGGATCGAGCCACACATTGGGGTCTCTACTCGGCAGGGAGCCTGCTTCCCCCTCTCTTTCTGTCTGCCTCTCTGCTCACTTGTGATCTCTCTCTGTCAAATAAATAAATAAATAAATAATCTTTAAAAAAATTTAAGATTTGGGGTGCCTGGGTGGCAGAGTTAGTTAAACATCCAACTCTTGGTTTTGACTCAAGTTGTGATCTCAGGATTGTGAGATAGAGCCCTGCCTTGTATGGGGCTCCAAGCTCAGTGCAGAGTCTGCTCAAGATCGTTTATCCCTCTCCTTCTGCCCCTTCCCCCACCCCCACCCTGCTCCCCGCTCATGCACAAGCATGCTATCTCTAAAATAAATAAATAAATAAAATTAAGATTTGATTTTTTTTTTTTTAGAGCAGTATAAGGTTTACAGCAAAATTGAAGTAAAGGTGCAGAAATTTCCCATATACCCCCAAACATGAATAACCTCCTTCATTACTAGCATCATCCACCAGAGTGGTAAATTTTTACAAATTTTTACAATTGATGAACCTACATACACCTACATACATCACACATCATAATCACCCAAGTCCATAGTTAACATTAGAGTTCACTTTTGGTGTTTTACATTCATGGGTTTGGACAAATCTTTAATGATATGTATCTACCATTAGATTTTTTTTTTTTTTTTAATTTGACACAGAGAGAGAGAGATCACAAGTAGGCGGAGAGGCAGGCAGAGAGAGAGGAAGAAGCAGGCTCCCCACTGAGCAGAGAGCCCGATGCGGGGCTCGATCCCAGGACCCTGGGATCATGACCTGAGCCGAAGGCAGAGGCTTTAACCCACTGAGCCACCCAGGCGCCCCTGTATCTACCATTATAGTTTCATGCAGAGTAGTTTCACTGCCCTAAAAATCCTCTGCGCTCTGCCTATTCATGCTCCTATATTTTTTTAATTTTAGATTTTGAGGAGATTAAATAGCTATGAAGTAGAATTTTTGAAATGTGAAGATATCCACTGATAAGAAAGTAATCTCATATATCAAACGACTGTCTCCATATCTATAGAAAAGGAGCAATTGACAAAATTTAATACCCCTCCTTAATTTTAGAAAAGTAATAAAATAGTAATCAATAGATACTTCTGTAACACGATCAGGTATGTCTAACTCAGCCACATCATACTTACTGGGGAAATACAATTTTGTATTCTAACTAAAATCAGGAACAAGACAATGATGTCCACAGTCACCACTACTAATTAGCATTGCATCGGAGGTACTAGCCAAAACAATTATATAAATGAAAAAAAAAATTGGAGGTAAAGTCATTGAAAAGGAGCTGATAAAACCATTTCTGTTTGCAGGTAATATGATTTTATACTTGGAAATCTAAAAATAATTGACTAAAAAATAAACAACAGGAAAATTCAGCAAGGTAAATTTAATATATAGAAATCAGTATTTTTCATATGCAACAGCCAGTTACAAGATATAATAGAAGAAAAGACTCTATTTACAGATACCAACAAAGATAAAATACTCAGAGTAAACCTATTAAGAAATTGGACTTATAGACCAAAAGCTTTAAAATACTCCTGAAAGATGCAAAAGTAGGCTTGAAAAAAATGAGAAGACATACCATTTTTTTGATACAAAGACTCAACGTTGTAAACATGTCAGTTTTCCTTAGGTTAATTTATAAATTTAGCATGATCCAAATAAAAAATATCTACTTTCCCCCCGATACTAGACAAGTTAATTTTATTTTATTTTATTTTTTTTAAGATTTTATTTATTTATTTGACAGACAGACATCGCAAGTAGGCAGAGAGACAGGCAGAGAGAGAGGAGGAAGCAGGCTCGCTGCTGAGCAGAGAGTCCGATGCGGGGCTCGATCCCAGGACCCTGGGATCATGACCTGAGCCAAAGGCAGAGGCTTAACCCACTGAGCCACCCAGGCGCCCCGAGACAAGTTAATTTTAAAGTTCATATGAAAAAGGAAACAAGAAAAGCTACATACCTTGGAAAAAGAACAATGAAGGACTAAATAGTTATGTTAGATATTAAAACCTATCACTAAGCCTCACTCATGAGAATTGTATGGTTTTGGCATATAAGTAGAAAGACCAGTGGAACTGAATAGAAATACCAGAAGTAAAAGTAAATACATTTAGAATTTAGTTTGAATTAAAGGTGATATTATTAGTGGGATCAAGATAGATTTTTAAAGAGAATAATGTTGATACAATTGGGTAGCTATTTGGAAAAGGTATAGTTAGACCTCTCTCTCATTCACATCAGAATAAGTACAAATGAATCAAAGATATCAGAATAGAAAATAATACCAAAAAACACTAGATGACAAGTTGATCAAGTTCTTTATTAAGTTGGAAATGGCCTTTCTAGTTATGAATGAAAATCAAGAGGTTAGATTTGACAAGTGGGAGATCCTTCCAGCTGGTGTCTCTGTCTTTGTGACATGTCCCCATAGGCTGGTTATCTGAATGGTTCATTGGCCTTAATAAACACCTGAACCTTTACTCCTGGTAAACTTTATATAGCAAAGGAATCACCTGGGGAGCTAGTTAAAAATGCAGTTTACTGGATCTTATCTCTAGAATTTCTGATTCTGAGGGTGAGTAAGATGCATTTTATTTTTATTTTTACTTATTTATTTTTAAAGATTTTATTTATTTATTGGACACGGAGAGAGAGAGTGATCACAAGTAGACAGAGAGGCAGGCAGAGGAGGAGAGGGAAGCAGGCTCCCTGCTGAGCAGAAAGCCTGATGTAGGGCTCGATCCCAGGACCCTGAGACCATGACCTGAGCCGAAGGCAGAGGCTTAACCCGCTGAGCCACCCAGGCACCCCTGTAAGATGCATTTTAAACATGTGACTCTGGTCAGTGGATCATATTGGACAAATGCTTGTATAGAGCATTAAACTCCCTGCTGGTGAATAGACATAGAAAACAAATACCAGGGGCGCCTGGGTGGCTCAGTTTGTTAAGCAACTGCCTTGGGCTCAGGTCATGATCCCAGAGTCCTTGGATGGAGCCCCATGTCAGGCTCCTTACTCAGCAGGGAGCCTGCTTCTCTCTCCCTCTGCCTGCTACTCTGCCTGCTTGTGCTCTCTCTCTCTCTCTGTCTCTGTCAAAATAAACAAACAAACAAACAAATACTCCTTATCCTGAGATTAAGGATATCAATGAGAGGTAAACTGAGCTCATACCCTCCTACTTCAGGTACTCAGACATAGAAGGACATTCCATCCTTAAAGCTGGGCCTAAGGTATTTTGAGATTACTTTCCTTATATTTTCTTTATTCCAAATAGGTGCTGAATTTCATTGTCTAAAGAAAACTGATGCTTAGAAAGCTTATGAGTGTTTTCTCACTGATTCAGAATTTATGAATTGAAATTTCTGATAATTGGAAGAAAGACTTAAAGTGTCCTTTTTTTGGGGGGGGTGTAATTTTTAAAGTAAGTAATACATTCACATGGGTGAAAAGTAGAAACTATAGAAGACATATAGCAAAAGTGCTCTGATATTTTTGTACCCTGTAAGTTCCCACTGCCCCAAACATGATCCTTCGATTTCTTCATTCTTATATAAGCAAATACAAATAAAAATCCTTATTTTTCCTCTATTCTTATGCAAAAGACAGCATGTAAAACACATTTGGTACTTTGTATTTTTCTTTTAACAACCTATTTGGAGGTCATTCTGTATTAGTACATAGAGACCATCTTCATTTTTAAAAAAAGTTTCTTTTGCAGCTGCATAGATTTCCATTATATTGATATGCCATAATTTATTTAACTAGGGTTACTGGTGATTCCTTTTTGGGTTATTTCTAGCAAACACTCTTGTACATATATCACTCCATATCTGTGTAAAATTATCTGTAGGGTAACTTCCCTGCAGAGAAACTATATATGTATGTATTTGTAATTTTGATAGATATTGCCATAGACCTTGTATCAGTACATACTCTTGTAATTTCTTACATCCTGTTAATAGTATGTATCTTCAAATTTTAAGAGTTTGACCATTCTGTTAGATAGTATAATAGCATAGTTTTAACATGTATTTCTCCTGTTTGGGGTGAGGTTAAATATCTTTTCATGTGCTTCACTGTTTGGTCGTATCCTTTTGGCCTGGGTCTTAGGGCAAATCTTTTCTTCATAAGTAAAATTTATATAGTGCCATTGAAATTCAGTGAAATCTTAATCTAACTACATTAAGCAGTTTCTTACTTTCTAGTATAACAAAATGTTCCGGGCTCATCTTGTACCTATCCTGCCTCAGGCCTGGAATGAGTCGTTTCTCTGAGGATTCCTGGTTCTTTTTAGTGGGAAATGATATTACAGACCAAAGACTGGCGTTAGCTGTGCTCATTGCTTCTGGAATATATATATTTTTTCTTTTTTTAAAGATTTTATTTATTCATTTGAGAGAAAGAGAGGGAGAGAAAGAAGCACAGCATGGGGGAAGGGCAGATACAGAGGGAAAAGCAGATTTCCTGCTGAGCAGGGGACCCCGGGATCATGACCTGAGCTGGAGGCAGATGCTTAACCCAGGCACCTCTGTTTCCCTCTTTGATTTCATCTTGTTTTATTTTTTCCTCTTGTCCCCTATGATCCTCTGTTTTGTTTCTTAAATTCCACATATGAGTGAGATCATATGGTAAGTTTCTTTCTCTCATGGACTTAGTTTGCTTAGCATAATACCTTCTCGTTCCATCCACGTCACTGTAAGTGGCAAGATTTCATTTTTTTTTTGATGGCTGAGTAGTTTTCCATCCACATCTTCTTTGTCTGTTCATCTGTTGATAGACATTTGGGCTCTTTCCACAGTTTGGCTATCGTGGACATTGCTGTTATAAACATTGGGGTGCATGTGCCCCTTCAGATCACTCCATTTGTATCTTTAGGGTAAATACCCAGTAGTGCAATTGCTGGGTCATACAGTAGCTCTATTTTCAACTTTTTGAGGACCGTCCATACTGTTTACCAGTACGTGGAAATAAGTGGCTGCACCAGCTTGCATTCCCCCAGCAGTGTAGGAGGGTTCCTCTTTTCCCCACTTCGCCATTATCTGTCATTTCCTGACTTGTTATTTTTGGTCATTCTGACTGGTGTGAGGTGGTATCTCATTGTGGTTTTGATTTGTAGTTGGCCTGATGCCGAGTCAGAGATTTCTTTCTTGCCTTCCACGATTCCCTATTTGTACATTCCTTTTTCCTAAGTGAGAACTCTTACTTTTAACAAATCAACACGTGTGCCTATTTTGCTCAATTCTATAATCCAACTGAAATAGTCTAGATTCACTTTACCCATTCAACTACAGTAAACTGTAGCTTGTTTTCCATTTGTTTGTTTGGCTATTTTTGTGTATTTGTTTTGTTTTGTTTTGTTTTTAAATAGGCTCCATGCCCAGCGTGGAGTCAAAAGTGGGGTTTTAACTCACAACCCTGGGATCAAGACCTGAGGGGCACCTGGGTGGCTCAGTAGGTTAAGTGCTGCTGCCTTTGGCTCCATACTGAGCCCCAAGTTGTTGGGCTCCCTGCTCAGTGAGGAGTCTGCTGGGTCTCTCTATTGCTCTTCCTGTTCATGCTCTCTCTCTCTCTCTCAAATAAATGAATAAAATATTTAAAAAAAAAGTCAGTGCTTAACCAATTGAACCAGCCATGTGCCCCAAACTATAGCACTGTAGCTTGTTTTAAAAAAATTATTCACAAGAGAAACAATTGATATTTCTTTAAAAATAAGTCCTAGGGTGCCTGGGTGGCTCAGTGGGTTAAGCCTCTGCCTTCAGCTCAGGTCATGATCTCAGGGTCCTGGGATTGAGCCCTGCATCTGGCTCTCTGCTCGGCAGGGAGCCTGGTTCCTCCTCTCTCTCTCTCTCTCTCCCTGCCTCTCTCCCTACTTGTGATCTCTGTCTGTCAAATAAATAAATAAAATCTTAAAAAAAAAAAAAAAGTCCTAATCTTGGGACGCCTGGGTGGCTCAGTCAGTTAATGTCTGCCTTCTGCTCAGGTCATGTTCCCAGGGTCCTGGGATTGAGTCCTGCATTGGGCTCCCTGCTCAGCAGAGAGCCTGCTTCTCCCTCTGCCTGCTGCTCCCACTGCTTGTGCTCTCTTTCTCTCTCTCCCTGATAAATAAATATATAAAATCTTTAAAAAAAATAAGTCCTAATCCAAATGAATTTACCTGAATTAGACTTTTATTGTTCCATAAAGGATTCATTGGAGCAGCATACAAAAAATTCCTTCATATAAATTTTAGAGCAATTAAAAAAAATCTATTTAGGGGGCAGCTGGCTGGCTCAGTTGGAAGAGCATGGGACTCTTGCTCTGGGGGTTGTGAGTTTGAACCCCACATTGGGTATAGAGATTGCTTAAAAATAAAATACTGGGAAAAAAAAAGAAATTCTACTTTTTTTTTTTTTAAAGATTAATTTATTTGCGAGAAAGAGAGAGTGAGAGCATGAGTTGGGGGAGGAGCAGAAGGAGAGAATCTCAAGCAGACTCCTCACTGAGTGCAGAGCCCCGACATGCTGGTCGATGTGGGGCTCAATCCCATCACCCAGGAAATTGTGACCTGAGCCTAAACCAAGAGTCAGTAGCTTAGCTGAATGAGCCACTCAGGCACTCCTCTACTTAGATCTTTGATGAGGGCAGTTTATTAGAGTTTATCTAATTAAAAGTAGGAAATGTGGTAGTTTTACAATAATAAAAAAGTTTTTACTGTTATACTGATAGTCAACTAGCCTTTCTAGAAATATATAGAATAATAGAATAATATTGAAGTGTACATATTATGTTGTATTTCTTTCTAGATTCAAGGATATTAGTTTTGCCTAGAATAGCAATATGTACAATATTCTAAAAGAAAATATGAATGCTTAATCTGAAATTTTGAATATTATAAAATCCTGTAGGAATAAATATAAATGCTTATTCTTATGTACCACTTATATTAATGTTTCTAGCTTTTAGTACTTTATCATTTACAGTTTTCTCATTTTCTTTCAGATACAGGCATAGACCACCATGCTCTTCTAAAACAATTTGATCACCTAAACCACCTGAACCCTGACAAGTTTGAATCTACAGATTTAGATATGCTCATCAAAGCGGTGGGAATAATTCCAGAAAATGTTGTCATTGTTGTGCCTTTGAGGTTTTTGTCATTTGATAAGTCAATTCAATGAAGTGGCAATATGACTTTTAGATACTCTCAAGAGTATTTTTAAAGGGAGATAGTTTAACCTTTATTACTACAGATAATAATACAGACATAACAATCTGTAACCCCTTGCCCACAATTCCAAAACCCAAAGCACTACAAAAGCTGAAATCTGGCTTCAGTTATAGTAAGGATATTTGTAGTTTTTTATTTAGTCTACATAATGTGAATATTCCCAGACTTTGCTGAGGAAGTACTAATCTGTTTGATAACAGACTTTGCAAGGAATACATAATACAGCATAAATGCCGTATTCTCTTTCTGAAATCTAGAAAATTCTGATATATACCTGGGTTCTGGGTTTTTCGGTAAGAGTTTGTGGACCTCTCATGTGTACTGTATGGAATTACTGAAACGGATGTTGTAGCCTTGCTATGAGTTTCGTTAAGTAGTTAGAAACCTTTCTAGTTTTTTATACTGTATAGATTTGATACAGTCCCTTCCTTCCTTTTTTTTTTTTTTTAAATCTTATTTATTTATTTATTTGTCAGATAGAGAGGCAGAGTGGCATGCAGAGGCGGAGAGAAGCAGGCTCCCTGCCTAGCAAAGAGCCCAATGTGGGACTCGATCTCAGGACCCTGGGATCATGACCTGAGCCAAAGGCAGCGGCTTAACCGATGAGCCACCCAGGCGTCCCAACCCTTCCTTCTTTTAAAAAATCAATTTATATATTATTTACTTATGAGAAGCTTTCTAAAGTTGAGGCTTGCTTTGAACTATGAGTTTCTTTTAATGCCTACATTCTGATAATAATAATGATTAAAATAAAATGGCAGAATTTAAAAGAGGAGTCCAATGTTTTCTGGACCTTCTATACTACCTTCTGTTAGAATATGCTGTATGCAGGAAAGCCCTTATTTATATTTTCAAATACTCCTTGTAATTTAGTTTAAATATTACATTATAGGCCACAAGTGATCTGGAACACTATGATAAGACTCGACATGAAGAATTTAAAAAATATGAAATGATGAAGGAACATGAAAGGAGAGAATATTTAAAAACACTGAATGAAGAAAAAAGAAAAGAAGAAGAATCTAAATTTGAAGAAATGAGGAAAAAGCATGAAAATCATCCCAAAATTAATCATCCAGTAAGAATTAATAACTTTAAGAAACTGTAATTAGATGTAGATACTTCTTGTATCAGACAGTAGAATTTTATCATAAGTTATTAGTACTTTAGATTCTTAATTCTGTACCATTTCTCAAATTTGTATTTTATTTTCAGTCTGTATACATAGATTATATTTTGTTTTGAGCATTTTTTAAAAATTGATTCACAGGGAAGCAAAGATCAACTAAAAGAGGTATGGGAAGAGACTGATGGATTGGATCCTAATGACTTTGACCCCAAGACATTTTTCAAATTACATGGTAACACATTTAATACAAATATTAATATTTATGTCTGCTGTTTGAGAGATTATAGTTGCTTTGTTCTTAACTGATTTTTGCCAAGGTCTAATATTGAGTCCTATTGACAGTAGAATTTTTCTCTAGGATAATAGAATGGTATTTTTTGCTGACCTGCAGCATAAAATACTTTGAGTCAGTAGCTGTGTCTTTTACCTGCTTTAACTGTTGACTCACTACGACTTACTGTAAGGTTCTCTGTAAATGTGAAGGTATTTCTGTGACTAGCTAGGTTATATCTAACATGCTTTATGCTGTAATATTAAAATTTACTTTTTTCCCTATAGCATACTGTTTCACTTTATATTTTTGAAAAAACTGGTTAAGATATATTTGTCTAAAAAAACTATGAATTATAAATTAGTAGTAAATTGTTATCCATTGGACTGATCTGAGGCTTCATAAAAAAGGAGGAAACATTCTCTCTAGCGTATGGCTGACTCATGTTAGTACCACTTCTGCAAGCCAGTTGTGAAGAGTTGTATTTTAATTATTGATTTTTGAAGGCATTAAAATCAATTTTTGCATTTGTGACTTTTTAAACTTCAGATGTCAATAATGATGGCTTCCTGGATGAACAAGAATTAGAAGCCCTATTTACTAAAGAGGTAAATGAGTTCATTTGAGTGTTCAGTGTTTTTGCTCTCTTTTTTCCATTATTTTCCTGCCTTTTATGTTGGTTTTAAACTTTTCTTTTTAGTTGGAGAAAGTATATGACCCCAAAAATGAGGAGGATGATATGGTAGAAATGGAGGAGGAACGGCTTAGAATGAGGGAACATGTAATGAATGAGGTATGTTTTAAAATTTTTAGGATTATATGTTATTTCAATGGATATTCAAGTTCTTGTAATCTTAACAAAGTGGAAAATAAATACACAGAGTAGCTATTTAATTGAATTTTGCATTTTTTGACCCAGAATATTTAGTAGACTTCCTTAGTATAAATAAAGTTATTTTGTAACTATTTTAAAATATTTTAAAATTTAAAAGGTTTTTATTTAGGAGATTAAGATGCTGTTGCATGTCCTTTAGAAGTAAAAGATAAGGTAGTCTAATATTTGATATTTTATTATTTTTTTAAGATTTTATTTATTATATTTGACAGAGACACACAATCAGAGAGGGAACAGAAGCAGAGGGAGTGGGAGAGGGAGAAGCAGGCTTCCCACTGAGCAGGGAGCCTGATGCTGGGCTCGATCCCAGGACCCTGGGATCATGACCTGAGCCGAAGGCAGACGCTTAACGACTGAGCCACCCAGGCACCCCGAATATTTGATATTTTAAAAGTCTGTGTTTTTATTAAGAAAATCCAAAAAATCCAATGCTGTAATGGTTTATAACAACTTATTTATTTCTTGTTCACATTATTAAGCTGAGAACTTCGGTCATAGACATTGGAGGCTGATAACTAAAGCCCACTGTTTTGTTTCTGTGATTTTCACCTGATGTTTGAGCTATTGGTGATGAATTGGGATTTCTGCTGACTGCTGGCATCCCATGTGTCAAATGAATTTCTCTGGCTGTTATGGAGTTCACTTTTGCAACTGAATGGCAATAAGAGCCATTGAAGAGGCTTGGGAGCGGTTGTCAACATTAATTTTGATTTAGTTAGTTTTTTTAAAGAAAAAATATTGAGAGAATGTTAATGTAAACTCCTTTACTCTTGGCTCAAACAGTCCTCTTTCCGGAAAGGTTATTTTTCTTGGGATTTTACATGGTGCGGTGAAGGAGGGAGACCATAATAGTTTAGCCAGTCAGATCAGCAGCCTCAAGCATGGTGATCTTTGAGTATCAGGTGTATAGATATCTCACTGTATTTTCAAATCTGAATAATACAGAAGATAGCAATATCTATATTCTGATTCTAATATAATGTTGAGTGTTCTGACTTTCACCCCCTACCCCATCCCTCCGTTTCTGTGGATGTTGGGTTAGCCTTAATTGCTGTATGTTTGTGTAGTAGCAACTATTAGAAGACAATTTCTAGTGATATGAGAGTTATTTTATTTTATATATACATTTTTTTTTTTAACCAGGTTGATGCTAACAAAGACCGATTAGTGACTCTGGACGAGTTTTTGAAAGCTACAGAAAAAAAGGAATTCTTGGAGCCAGATAGCTGGGAGGTAATAAAACCTACTTGAAATGGGATGTATGATTCAAGAAATTATACAGCAGTTCATTCTATTTTTAACTTTTATTTTCCATTATGTTTGCATGTAGAGCCTTACTATCTTGGCTTTTAGATAAAATGTCACTATAAAATAACAAATGTGATTTTTTTGAAAACTTGTGGCAATTGACCTCTTATTTGTAATCATGTTACATATAATTAGCAGTCTTTTTAAAATTTTACTTTTTCTAAAGGTAAAATAGTGTTCATTCTTAAAAATTAGAAATATAGATACATTGAAAGAATAAATTAGAAGTTACCTGTAATTCTACCTTTCAGAGGAAGATACTTAACTTATGCATTGTGTTATGCCGATTTGGAATTGTTTGTATTTTTAGTGTATGCATGTATAGCACACAATATATAGTGTATTGTCCCATTTTTATTTTATTTTACTTTAATTAATTAATCTTTGAGAGAAAGAGAGAGAGAGAGAGCAAATGAGGGGGAGGAGCTGAAGGAGAGGGAGAGAATCTTGAGCAGGCTCCATACCCAGCGTGGAGTCTGATGTAGGGCTTGATTTTACCACCTTGAGATCATAATCTGAGCCAAAATCAGGAGCCGGGTCCTCAACTGACTTAATCACCCAGGCACCCCTACCCCATTTTTAATTTACATGTACACATAAACTCCTATCTCTCTATGTATATTTTTAAAGATTTTATGTATTTATTTGAGAGAGAGCACGAGCAGTAGGAGGGGCAGAGGTAGAGGCTGAGGGACAAGCAGATTCCCTGCTGAGCTTGGAGCCCATGCAACTCAATCCCAGGACCCTAAGACCATGACCTGAGTGGAAGTCAGGCTTAACGGTTAAGACTGAGCCACTCAGGTGCCCCATCCTGTCTTTATAGTCTTATGGTATCATACTGTATGAATGTCTTTGTATGTTTGAGAAATTCTGTGTTTTTTAATGTTAGCAGTATTTCATGATGTCATTCTTTAAAAAACAGAGTTTAGAAATGATTCCTTAGCATGCAGTTTTGTGATTATAGCATAATTTATATAACCATTGGAACAGATTTAGCCATTTGGGTCAATTCCAATTTTTTTTACTGTAGTAATTAACAGTATGACAACTCTGTACTTATTCATACATCTTTGGGCATCTATAATAATTTCCCTGGGATTAATTCCTAAGAATAAAACTATTCTCAAGGTTTGTGACCATTTTTAGTTTCTAAATCTATTTTGTTGAATTGCTCCAGAAAGGCATACCAATATATTCCATAGTTTATTGTGAATACACATTTTTTTTTGTGCATACACATTTTAAAGAGAATAGTTGAGAGGTAGCAACCGGAAGAGTTTGAAAAAAAAGTTGTCATTTTCTATACAAAATATAAAGATTACTATTTCTTTCTCTTTTTTCTTTTTTTTAAAGATTTTATTTATTTATTTGACAGACAGTGATCACAACTAGGCAGAGAAGCAGGCAGAGGGTGGGGGAGGAAGCAGGGCTTCCCACCGAGCAGGGAGCCTGATGTGGGGCTTGATCCCAGGACGCTGGGATCATGACTGCGCCGAAGGCTGAGGCTTTAACCTACTGAGCTACCCAGGCGCCCTTCAGTTAGATTTTTAATCTGTGGATCCATTTGTCCAGAAAATAGTTTGAGATAGGGTGACCAACTGTTCTGGTACAGCCTGTGCTGAGGAGTTTCCTGGGGTGTGAAAGTTTTTGGTGCTGAATCAAGGATGGTCCCAGGCTGACTGTTCATCAGCGTAGTTTGAGATTAAAGAAATCAGCTTTTTTTGGTCCTGTTTTTTCCTGACATTTGTAATATTTCTGGACTTTGGTGAAGAAGAAGAAGAATCTTAAGATATTTGAACATTCATTCCATTTATTGTTTCTGGTGAACTAGATCAATAGGTAATTACATACTTTTTTTTTCATTTTAACGTAATTTTAGATTTACAAGAGAGTTATAAGAATAGACAAGGAATTCCTGAATACCCTTCCCCTAGATTTCCCATTTGACTACAGTTATTCTCTCTCTTTATCTCTTTCTCTATTTTTAATCTATGTGTATATGTATTTATATATAACATATATCATGTTTTTGAGAGTTAGTTGCACACAGTGCTGCTTTAACCTTAAATACTTGAGTGTGTATTTTTTTGCAAACAAGGATTTATCTTGCATAATCATGGTAAAATTATCTATGATAGCTACACACAGAAAACTCTTCTCTAGTCTCTAGACTTTATCGAGATTTTTTGTTAATTTTCCTAATACTGTCCTTTATAACAAAAGAAAATCCAGGATCATACTGAATTTAGTTGTAATGTCTTCCTAATCTCCTTTAATCTGAAACAGTTCCTGAGTCTTTGTATCTCATGGCATCCATATTTCTAAAGAGTATAGACCAATAATTTTGTGGTATATCCCTCAGTTTGAGTCAGTCTGCTGTTTCTTTAGGACTCCTGCTTTTGGTAGAAATACCACCAAAGTGATGCAAAGTGCATCATATCATGAAGCATATGCTGCTGATTATTTTCATAACTGACAATGTTAATTTTGATTATTTGGTTAAGATGGTGTCTATCATGTTTCCTATTTTTTCTTTTGTAATTTAAATAGTACCTTGTCTAACCCACCATACTGCCAGAATCAGGAGTCAGCATTAAAAAAAAAAAAAAAATTACTCGACATCATATCGAAAGTATTTGCAAATATGAATTTTAAGCATTACTTTAATAGTTATGGAAGTGCTTGACTGTTTTCTCAGGAATAGACACCCATTCTTTTACTGTTTATTTTTAAAAAGATAGTGCTGCTATAAACACATTTTTATATAAAGCTTTTTATGTGTTTAAGGTTATATTTGTAGGATGGATTCTCAATGTAGCACCAATAAGACCAAAGGAATCTTTTTAGGGCAGTTGATGTATTTTGTAGAAGTATTTTTCAAAAGAATTGCATTACCACCATTACCACTGTTTAAAAAAAAAGTCTTCGAGGGCATACTTTGAGATTCATTATCTACTAATTTTAGCATTCACTGATAAATCTTGCCAGAATCCATTATTACAATGACTATTGACAAATGGTGATTTTCTAACCATCATTCCTTCCATATTTATCAGTTGGTTTTCTACAGTAAGGAAAAGCTATCCCTTCTCCCATCCCCTCCCATCACTTTACTTTATTCAAAAATGAATCCTTACTATCATGATTTATTTCAATGCCCAAATTGCCCCAGATTTGGCTGGGAGTTCCTTCAAACTGGCTTTTATATCCTTTTGGCATGTTTCCTATCATTCTTTGAGGACTTCCTTACTTTTTAGCATAATAAGATGTTCAAGGCTCATCTTGTTCTTTCTCTATCCCACCTCTGGGATCAGCCATTTTTCTGAGCAACACTGGTCCCTTTTAGTGGAGATCGTTATCACAGACTAGGATCTGGGCACTGGATGTGTTCCTTGTTACCAGAGAGTCTTTGCTTCTAGGCTTTGTCAGATAATAGAGTTGGGTAATTTAAAAAACATCTAAATGTGTGTGTGTGTGTATTTATATATATATACATATATATATTTATATTTGTATTATGTATATCTGTATATGCACGAATTATACACATACACAGATACACTTACATTCATATTCATCTTGGTATATTTAGGTACCAATATATATAAAACTTGACGAACTCATTGGGGCTCCTGGGTGGCTCAGTCGGTTAGGCGTCTGCCTTTGGCTCAGGATGATCTGAGGACAGGGTCCTGGGACAGAGCCCAATGTGGGGCACACTGCTCAGCATGGTGTCTGCTTCTCCTTCTCCCTTTGCCCCTCCCCCACCCATGCTCGCTCACTCTCTCTCAAGTAAATAAATAAAATCCTTAAAAAACAAAACAAAACACAAACTTAGTGAGTTCATACTGATACCTCCTTAAATTTCAGTCCAATGCCAGTACAACATCCTATCTCTTCCTCTTTCCATATTTCATATGAAACCTGGCTCCTATTTTCCACAATATTATTCCACTTATTTCCTCAATCCTAGGATGTATATAGTGTTTCAGATTGCTAAACTCTGCAAAAAGGAATTTATTATTTGTTTAGATTTTTGTTGTTGTTTTTAACCTGAGCATGCATTCTGAATACTGTGACCCAAAGTTTGTTGGTTAGTTCTTTTTTACCCCTTCTGTTTATTCACTTAAAATAGAAGTATAATTTATTTTCTTTTGTTTATAGTCAGTTTGGGTTTTCCTGTCCTTGTGGATTTTCTTTCTTCTCTTTTCTTGAGTGTATGAAACACTGCAAGTTTCTAAAAATCAAACCTGTATGAAAAAGTTGTATTCAGAGAAATATGATTTCTTTTCCTGCATTGTTTCTGTCCTTTCTACCCAGTTCTCTTCGTTGTTCTATAGGTAATCGATTTCATTAGCCTTGGATTTTTCCTTTTGCTCAAATAAATACATAAATATGTTTTCTTATTTCCCCTTTCTTACTGAAAGCTATATTATGATAGATACTCTTATACTTTGCTAATGATAGAATTTTCAAGCTGAATCAAACCCTGTTGGACATCCAAGATTATTCTTTCCTCATTTTTTTTTTCCATTTTTTTTTTCCCTTTTAGACTTTGGATCAGCAACAGCTCTTCACAGAGGAAGAACTGAAAGAATATGAAAATCTTATCTCTTTACAAGAAAGTGAACTTAAGAAAAAGGCAGATGAACTTCAGAGACAAAAGGAAGAGCTACAGCGCCAGCATGACCAACTTCAGGCTCAGAAGCTGGAATATCATCAGGTGGTATTTATACAATGACTGTGGCATTAAAAGGAATTTTAGGTGCTGTGCTAAATGTGTGTGTTTTTTATAATATAATATTTCAATGTCCTATTAGCTATATTATTTTAAATTTTAGTATTTGAAAAACTGCTTTGTTGAATATTAATCTAAATTTTAGAGTTTGAATATCTCATTTTGGAAAACAATTTTCAATTCGTTTGTTGTGGTTTGTCAAAGGTCATGAGAAAATAAAAGAATACTTACTTTTAAGACATTCTTTTTCCATGCCCTAGGTTGTACAGCAGATGGAACAAAAAAAATTACAACAAGAAATTCCTCCATCAGGGCCTGGTGGAGAATTGAAGTTCCAGCCACGTACGTAACTTTTTTTTTCCTTTTGTTTAAGGAAATAAGAATATTGAATAAATTGAAATCTGTGTTTATTACAAATGTAATTTCAAATCATTAATATTATGGTATTTACTATATATTTGGGGAAATAGCACAACTTGTAGTACAGAAAAACGTACAGAAATGAGCCTTCTAAAATGTCTATGCATCAGCTCATTTCAAAAGCTATTTAATTTGATAGCTGTATTTATGGTGAAATGATTTATTTCAACATTATTCACAGTTCTTTCTAATCAGTTATCAATATTGTTAGAGAATATGTTAATTGTAATCTATGATTAGCTAAGTGTATTTTTAAAATGCTTTATATATATAATATATACAGATATTTTATATATATATATATACACATGTAATATATATGTGTGTATATGTATATATGTGTGTGTGTGTGTGTGTGTATGAAGATTCAGAATAAAGGGAGATACCTTTAAAATGAGAGCTTTTTTTTTTTCCAAACAGACATTTAAAGTCCGAAGTCCACCAGAACTTGGAAGAAAACTGTTAAATCAACATCTGTGTCATCTTTTTACCACCCTTCCTTTTTTTTCTGCTCAATAAATATTTTAAAGCATATATGGAATAAAGGAAGATACTTTTAAAATGAGAACACATCTTTTCAGGACACAGATATTTAAGGATTAAAGTCCACCACAACCAGGAAGAATACAAACTCAGTATCTGCTTTCACTTTCATACCTCTCTTCTTTTTAATTTGTTCTCCTTTAATGATTTAATTCAGTGGCCATAATTATGCTGTAATTTAATGAAGCTATCAGTAACTGTTTAAGTGAGAAATTTCTGTACTGCTTTTAAAGTAAATTTATATTGTCGTCACTTAACTCATATAGTCTTTTATAGGTGCTTATCATCCCCTCTCTTGATAAAAGTCTCTTCGTTGTTAATAATTCTTCTAAGAAGACCACACTTTCCCCCAGTGTTTCTTGGTAACTTCTTCCTACTTCCAGCAACCTTAACTGCTAGAAATTCTTCTACTGAAGAGCTTTTGCTATGACTTCAGGTCATTTTTGGGTTCATATATTTGCTTTCTACTCTATTAAGATCAGGTTCTGCTACAAAAAAACCCAGAAAAACCAAAGATAACAGTGTTTTAAACTAAATAGGAATTCTTCCCTCTTCCATAAAGGAAATCTGGAGGCAGGTGGTGTCAGGTTCCTAACTCTCTCCTCTGCTATCCTCAGTACATGGTTTCTGTCCTCAAGTTACCTTATTCTCACTGTCCAAGATTGCTTTTGGAGGCAGTGGGCAAGAGGAGGAAAAGGAGCTTCTCCCCAGTTGCACAGGCTTCCTGGACTGAGTGTTCCTGGAGAACCACACATTTTAACTTACATCTCATTGGTCATATAGCTGCTAGGGAATCTGAGAAATCCTTGTGGCATTGGAACCAGCTAAAAGTTAGGATCTTTAACTAAAGAAGAAGGAGGTTATGTTTCATACACAACTTTGAGTTTTAACCCATACAGCTTTATTGGCTACCTATATATCTGTGTACACTCTTCGGAAACATAGAAAACACTCACTTGCCCTGCCCCAAAAGGAAATCTGCCACATCCAATCCATTATTGCATATAGCTCAAAGACCATAATATCCTTGTATAGTTCCCACTATCAGGTTAAGCTATGGATCTATTGTTCTGCCCATCTACAGACTAAGCAAGGGGTCTGCCTCGTGAGTACCAAATGCATAATGGTGGGATAGGTACAGGATAACGGCAATAAAATTGACCTTTCAGAAGGGAGGAAAATAGCAACCCCTGATCCATAACACTTAAAAGGTACTGCTTGGCAGAATTAACAAGGTCTCTCTGCTCAGTCTGTGAATATATTCCTTGATTTTTGCATCAGGCAACCCCTGATTCACTTTTGTGGGAGGAACTCCCTTGTCGAATGTCCTCAGGGGCCCTTGGCGCTGCCTTCTAGGAAGTTTTTCTTGTCCATTAATTTTCAGGGATACATCTGAGTGGGCAAGGGAAAGGGTGCTGATCTTGGGTGCTGGGCAGTATTAGTAGGTTACTTCCTGTTATGCTGGGTTTAGGGGCTTGGGCATGTTTTAAATAGTTACAGGCTGTTGCAGGGCAGGTTTGGGGTTTGTATTTGTTGGGTTTTGGGTTTTGGCAAAAAAAATTTCCTAGAAACTAAGTATGTTTCTGGTCTGTCTTTCTCAATTATTACAATGAGTAACCACAAAGATCTTGCCAAGACACAGTTTTTAATAAGAACATCATCGTTTACTTGCTGGCTTCTGTGCTCTCTCTCTCCCTTTGGGTCTTAAATGAACGGTACCCACTTGGGACCATTGGGCTTGGATGGGCTGACAACAGTCTGAGTCTGATCTCTTGGATGGCTGCCATTACTTGACAGAAAATTCTTGAGAAAAGGTTGAGGCAGAAAAAGAAAAGGCAGGAAAAGGTTGAGGATTCTTTCATACCTTCCTTAGAACCCTGACTGATAACTGTTTCAGATTAAAGTATGGTAGTGGCTGACTTCCAATTTTTCAGGGCTCCAGATTTGGGACTTGTCAGTTTGTTTTGTAGAGAGCTGTTCCCTCGGCAATGCTATATTCCTTTCCAACTGTCTTGTTAGCTTTAGCCTGAGTCACATCTCTCCTGTAAGACTTTGCTGAGGGCTAGAAGCAGCCCACATGCTAGTACTCAGATGTTCTACCACTACTTCCTCTAATACTCTAACCTTAGTGGCATGAGGTCTCACTGCCCAAAGCCCTGCCTCCTCACCTAAGCTAACTCCATATTTTAGATCCTTTTACTAGCTGTACCTTCTAGCTACCAAATTCTGTCTAGGTCAGGATTCCTGGTTGTAGATAATGGAATCTTCTTTAGCTATTAAACATAAGGGGCTTGATTAAGGGGTGCAGAGAGCTCACAGAATCTTTGGGAAGGCGGATGAAACAGAACCTAGGCTGAGCTTCTCAGAACTACATCACAGGAGTGGGCTGCCAGAAAAGCTGCTGCTTCTGGAACAATTTGAGAAGCTGCCTGCCAGCTCAAGATGCCTCCTCCTGCTGGATTAAGGCAGCAGAGAAAAGTTCCCAGCTCCAGAACTGAATCACCTCTGCTGAGATTTGTGGTGGCAAAAGTGGACAGACACCTCATGGGCTGCCTCTCTCCCCATGTAACTTGGTTCTGAGCAAAAGTCTCAAGTGAGTGCATCTGGTCAACTGGGCTAATCATATCTGGAACTCTAGCTGCAAGGGTGGTTGGGAAAGCCTAGTATTTAACTTTACTACCTCTGTACTACAAGAAGGCATGTTTAAAGCTGTTGAGGGAGCTAATCTGTTGTAACGTCTCATAATTTTAAAGATTTTATTTCTTTATTTTTGAGAGAACTAGCAGGGGGAAGGGAAGGGGCTGAGGGAGAAGCAGGCTCCCCACTGAGCAGGGAGCCTGATGCAGGACCCAGTCCCAGGACCCTGGGATAATGACCTGAGCTGAAGGCAGATGCTCAGCTGACTGAGCCACTCAGATGCCCAACATCTCAGAGACACAATTTTACATTGTGTCTCTTCACATTAATAATTTTTAAAACTCTTAGTCCTCATTTTTACAAAATTTAAAAATAATGACTACATACTCCAAAGATACCTCAGATTTTTTTTTTTTCCTTAAATCACAGATCCCAAAATTAAATGTAACAATCTGGGAAAGTTCTACTTATATATAGCTTTAAAAAAACACACAAGGAAATCACTCAACAGAGTAATGCCTTGTTTCTTTAGAGATGGAGAAGGATTCCTATCTCTATTGTTTAAATTGTAGGAAACATTTAAAAATGATCTGGCTTATCCTTTTGTTGATGACTCTTATCTGTGACAAGAAACTGTGATAAGACAGGGATTCAGCCAAGGTAAACTTTTTTAGATGGTGGACTGGGGTTCAATCAGAAAGGCATTGGAGGGGCGCCTGGGTGGCTCAGTGGGTTAAAGCCTCTGCCTTTGGCTCAGGTCATAATCCCAGGGTTCTGGGATCGAGCCCCATATCGGGATCTCTGCTCAGCAGGGAGCCTGCTTCCTCCTCTCTCTCTCTCTCTCTGCCTGCCTCTCTGCTTGTTTGTGATCTCTATCTGTCAAATAAATAAATAAAATCTTAAAAAAAAAAAAAGAAAGGCATTGGAGGCATGCCTGGGTGGATCAGTTGTTAAGAGTCTGCCTTTGGCTCAGGTCATGATCCCAGGGTCCTGGGATCAAGCCCCACATCAGGCTTCCTGCTCAGTGGGGAGTCTGCTTCTCCCTCTCCAGCTCCCCTGAGCTTGTGTTCCCTCTCTTGCTATCTCTCTTTGTCATAAATAAATAAAATCTTAAAAAAAAAAAAGGCATTGGAGACAACAGTATTGTACTATGATTACATAATATGATAAATATGGATACAGGGTAATCATATGAGAATATATAAATGTATCAAAGTAACATGTACATCTTACATTTACATGATGTTATATGTCAAATATATTCAATTAAAAATATAATTGGAGAATCATTTAGAGACATTTCTTAAAATGACCTTTTGAAATGAGTAATAATGGGTGGATATTACTGTAGACATACCTCACAGTTTTCAGCAAATTTTTATAATTTATATTATTAAAAAAATTAGGGGTACCTGAGTGCTCAAATGGTTAAGTGTCTGCCCTGGGCTCAGGTCATGGGTCTCCAAGTCCTGGGATTGAGCCCTGCATGTCAAATTCCCTGTTCAGCTGGGTGTCTGCTTCCCCTGCTCACTCTTCCCCTCCTACCTGCTTGTGCTCTCTCTCTCTCTCTCTCAAATGAACAAATAAAAATATTTAAAATGGAAAATTGTTAGTCCAACTTTATCTATGGACTTAAGGAATTCCAATTCTTATGAGTATTGGGCATTTATGAGTGAATATTATTTCTTAACAGAGTTGCTAATAGTATTCTTTACAGCTCTGTTAGAAAGTATTAGTCCTGTGTTTCATTTATACCATTCTTCTTTTTATTTTTAAAATATTTATTTATTAATTTTAGAGAGAGAGAGAGCACACACGAGTGTGGGGAGGGGTAGAAGGAGAGGGAGAGTATCTCAGGCAGGCTTACCACTGAGTGTGGAGCCCATCATGTGGCTCCATTTCAGGACCCTGAGATCATTACCTGAGCCAAAATCAAGAGTCCTATGCTTAACTAACTGAGCCACCCAGGTGCGCCTATACCATTCTTCCTAATACTTTTTAGGTATTCAGTATTCTTTGATTTAGCTGACCTACTAGTATGTATTAGTAATTTCAGGTTTCGTTTCACATATGAGTTTTCATAAAGCATATATATTTTATACTTAGGTATATATAATTAGGTATATATTATTATATATATTATATATAATAATAATTACGTATATATAATTAGGTATACTTAGGTATATATAATTAAAATTAAATTTTAAAAGATGATAGTCCTTTAGAATATTTGACTCTTGCTTAAAGAAACTGCAGTATAGGAATAGTGGTAAAAAAAATACTTTGATATGTGGCTCTACATTTTTTTTTAACCAAAGTATGTTTATAACAGCATAATTTTCTATGCTAATTGAACAGATTATATTACCAAAACCTAAATCCACATCTGTTTTTCACAGAAAGAAATATATAAAGGAAATTGTACAGTTTCGTGAGAATGTGGTTTTTAAGATAGCCTAGCTAATAAAAGAGGGGTTGAGAAATCTATTTTCTTGAGGCAGAAATTTTGACAAGCCTAATTCTGGTTAGTGCCTAAAATGTAATCTTTGTTTTATAGCTGTGCGGTACAATGAAGAAGAAAGTTGAAATAGAGCCAGAGTTAGATGATGAGCTTCATCGTCTTCATGTGAGATTTTTATTATCCCTTGAAGAACCTGCTGAAGAAGTCTGCTTTCACCCTTAACCACTGGTGCCTCAACTTAATACTTTAGTTCTTTTTTTTTTTTAATTGGGAGACTAAAGGGAGTTGAGTAAAGTGCAAAGTGTACTTTTTTGCTCCTTGCAGGTGAAAGAATGAAAGACTGTAATGACAACTTGCTTACAAGATTTGAGGGAAATCTGGTCTTGTCCTTCCCTTCCCCCCCCCCACAATGTCATTATCAGGATTCCAATTTTTCCTTACTCATGTTTAGTTTATTTTTTGAAGGAGTAGTTTGCTATGGATTAATACCCTTTTCTTAGACAATCCAAGAAGTGAGCCAGAACAAGCAGCAGCAGCAAGTGGTAAAGACACCAAATTGAAAAATTTGAATTTATGGTTACTGGCTAGTATTGCCAGCCTCCTTATTAAGACAAAAGCGAAGCAAAACCAATAAATCTTTTCATTTAATTTTAGGTATTTAGATTTTCCCCCAACATTACCTGTAGAATTATGTAGGAAAAAAACCCCTACATTTCATGTTTATAGATGTCTACAGTTTTCCATGCAGAACTTTTAGTTTACATTTTAATTGGCATTAGTCCTATTCTGATGAATGCCACATACCAGCTTGGTTGTTAGCCAGCTCTTGACAAGTGTATTTTTCCCTAAAAGCTTACCCTTCTATTTAATTTCGGAGCTGTGCATGCCTGTAAACAAATTTGGTTGTGTTTATAATTTATTGCAAGCAATAGATTTGACTTTTGCTGTGCAAATTTCCTTATCTCTTTTTGCTTTATTCTTAGTAATAAGTGTATTTTCCAAGATTTCCGGGACTATGAATATAGATCTTGTCATTAAGATGTTAAAATATTTTATTTTACAATTCTTGTGTTTTGCTGCTCCATGAAATTTAAAAAGGGTAATGATTTATATCCACATGATTTTAAAGCTATGACTTGTCTCAGTGCTTTAAAAGTGAGAGAAGAAATAAGATTCCATCTAGTTCTCTTTGCTTTCTCCCATGAATCATTGTATTAAAATGTTATTTTTGTTCAATTTTAGTCCACCTGAAATGTAGATTTTTAGTGATATGAAAATATGTGTCATTTAACTAAATCCCTACCCTCATTTTAGAGTCCTTGTGTATAGAGTATAAAACCCATGTACAGTCTGTGCCATATTCTGTATTTGTCTTATACGATGTTATTTTCCCTATTTTACTGTTCACTATTACCCTTCAGTGGTTAAAGTGATTTGAGTTTGTTTTACTTTTGAATTTTACCCTTTCTGCTCTTGGTATAGCAATACCAAGATAGATATTTAAAGGTAAATATTTAAAGGTAAATATTTCCTTATTAGTGTAGTGATGTCTTATAGATTTTTTTCCTTTTCTAAAACATTTGCCATGCCTCTTAGTGTTTAAACATTTTTGTGGTAGTATTGAAGCATTTTTGTCAAACACAACAATTTAAAACTCCTGTCATCATCATCTTTTTTTTTTTTTTAATTTTATTTATTTTTTTTGACAGAGAGACAGCCAGAGAAGGAACACAAGTAGGGGGAGTGGGAGAGGGAGAAGGAACACAAGCAGGGGGAGTGGGAGAGGGAGAAGCAGGCTTCCTGCTGAGCAAGGATCCCAGGACTGGGGTCATGACCTGAGCCAAAGGCAGATGCTTAATAACTGAGCCACCCAGGAGCCCCTCATCTTCCTATTCTATAGTATTGAGCAATGGATGTTTGTATTTTAATTTTTTTTTCTGATTAACTCTCAGTTCTAATCCTACATACATTTCTTGTTTCCTTTGGTGTATGTATTTTCACTCTCTTTGATATTTACAGCATGTTTCATTGAGATTCATGATTGATACTGTGGAAAAGAAAAACCATACTTGCAGAAAGGCAGAGCTATTTAGGCAAGCAGGCAGTCATTTCTAGAGGGGTTTTCTAGAGCTATTTGGGCAAGCTGCAGTCATTCCTGGAGGGGTTCCCGAGTAATGGAGAGAGTAATTCTAACCCTAAACAAAATTTCTAACTAATGAGTAGAGTTCCTGACTCCTCTTCCACAGAGTGAACCAGCTATAGAGCAGATGCATAGCATTCAGACCCTGACGAATGTCTGTTGTCCAATTCTTCTGCTTTTTTGTACCCTCCTTAAGTGATAATAATTTTTTAAAGTATTTTGTGCATTCCAGCAGACATTTTCTGTCTTGCAGTTGTTAATAAAAGGGGAGAAAAGTATTCTTTTTTTGTAATAGAAAGACCATGACATGAATTTTGCAATCTCTGATTAGAAGAGAAGTAGCATAATTTTTTGCCCAGATGACCTGAGGACTTTTTGTTTGTTTGTTTTTTGTTTTTAAGATTTATTAATTTATTTTAGGGGGAGAGGGGCGTAGGTAGAGAATCCCCAGGCAGACTCCCTGCTGAGCATGGAGCTGAGGTGGCTCCATCCTGCAGTCTTGAGACCACAACCCACTAGACCAGATCCGGAAAGCCAGAGTTGGATGCTCAACAGACTGAGCCCCCCAGCTGCGCTGATCTGAGCTTTGATTAAGTTCTTTTCTCTCTATGAACTCTCCCATTTTCCATTCTTGTACTGACTTTCCCGCAGCTGTGTTTCTAATGCATCTCCTGAGTCAATGGAGAAAGCTTTGAGTGATATAGAAAGTTATTAGCACCACTGCCATCAGCTTTTGGGGTATATTATCAGGCCTTTCTAATGAATTCTACCCTTCTCTCACAATCCCAAACTATTCATCTTTTCTCCAAGGGAGTCTGTTGTATTACCACTAATGTAGATGTAGAGGTGACTTTATTGAAACAGGATTAATTTATAAAAGATTTATGTGAAATACAGTAGAGGCTAAGAATTTTATTTTAAGGGTAATTTTCAGCCAGTTAATGCCCAGAGCAACTGTTTCATTCTTTTGGGATGGCTCTGGTGACTTCCAGATAGCTCTGTTTACACCTTTCCATCTAGTTTCAGGGCCTGAGAATGGAAGAGCTCTGGAGGGCCCAGTACTTTAGCAGAGGTGGAGGAAGGAGCCCCTTTTCAGTAAAGGTGTTTCTTTCTTTGAAGCTGTTAGTCCAGGATGTGTTAGCACACATGAAGGTTATAATAAGCCCTTGCAATTTTCAAAATGTCTGTGTACCAATTTTTATGCCTCTAATTGAAAGATCATATTTCAGGAGCAATATGTGTACATTTATATGAAAGCTTATGCCTAAAATAGGTGTGGAAGGAACCATTAGTTATTCTGTCTCTTCTGAAAAAAACTGTGTCCTGGAATTAAAAAGTGAAAAGAATTTTGCCTTTCATTTCCATGAAGGAAACCAGTGCTGCAAAATCCGTATTTTATCAATATTTTTTATGTTTTAAAAAACGTTGAATAATGATGGTGTATACATCCTATTTTATTGCTAAATTTGGGGGATTGTGGAATTTTTTTCAATTTAAACATTGAATTAAAAATGTAACCTTTTCTAAATATGTGGCCAAAAGTGTTCTGTTAATTTTAAAGTTTGGACAGAAATTTTATTAATCTGAAGTGTATTTAGACTTAATTCTTTTTGGTCTCTTCAGAAAATTGGGTCACTCAAAAAAAAAAAACCTACAAATAAATAACTGGATTTTAATTTGATCAGGAAGACACAGAGACTTTATACAAATTTGTTGTATTTGTTTTTTGATGTTACATTGTAAAAATTCTCCCGGTGCAATATTTGTCAGAAAATATTATTCTAGTCATCATTTGCATAGCTTTGTTTTTAATTATGCTAAAAGTAAAATCAGAAAAAATAATGTGATATTTTGTGTAATTTTCTGGGGGAAAAAGACAAACTTGGCAATGTTGAAAGAATGGGTTGTTTGCAAAACACAGTTATAGAGTTGTACAATCTGAGGGCCTTAGAGATCATGTACCAAAGAAGGAATTCCTTTTCTAGCATTTCTGAGTACCCAACCCCTGCTTCCAGTTGTAGCATAGAAGTGGAAATCCTAGTGGCTTGCAGAGTGGTTTACTGGGCAAATATGGAGATTCACCAATTAACTTCCTTTGGGGGAAGTTAATGATGTAGTAATACCAGGAGAGGACTTCTCCTCAGGTTGACTCCCTCCAAGAGGTAGCAGTTGGATTATAGAATTCTATAGCTGGACCTAACCTTGTAGATCCCTTGTTAAAACTCTGGCTTAGAAACTGTGACCTTCTGAAGATCCCTCAGCAAGTTGGTATCCGTGTGGGTGGCCTGCCCACCTCCCAGTTCTATGCTCTTTCCCCTCTGCATGCTGTTCTGCAGGTATATGAGAGTGTAAACATTTGCTTGGTTACTGACAGTACCGCGAAGTCTTCATTCACACCCTGCCTGATCCTGTAATTCTTAAAACAGCCCTGCAGGGAAGACTTTACCATCTCCATTTTAGAGAAGTGGAAACTGAGGTAACTCACCCACTGTCCCACAGTCATTGGTGGCCTAGCTGGAACTTGGGTCTTGAGTCCAGGTCTGTGATTTTCTATAGATTACATATATTGTCTTTAATGAGGCAAGGAAAAAATTAAGTAGGATCAATGAGAGTCCTGGAATGCAAGATGCTGGGGCAAGAGGTGTATGCATTTATTATAATAGTATGCACTGCCACTTGTGTTCTGAACTTTGTAGTTAAAACTCATTTAAAAGCTGTTCTGGAGATGGTAAAACATAATGATTACTGAGTGAACATTTTAGGTTTTGCTGAAGGAGGTCAGAAGCCACATTTTGGTTCATAAGGGAAATTAAGGGCTGCTTTTTTTTTTTTTTTTTAAAGATTTTATTTATTTATTTGACAGAGAGAGATCACAAGTAGACAGAGAGGCAGACAGAGAGAGGGAGGGAAGCAGGCTCCCCGCCGAGCAGAGAGCCCGATGCGGGACTCGATCCCAGGACCCTGAGATCACGACCTGAGTCGAAGGCAGCGGCTCAAACCACTGAGCCACCCAGGCGCCCCAAGGGCTGCTTTTTGATGTTTGACTAAAGTGTTCTGGGGGTACAGAATGTGATTTTATTTTAACATTCCGAATGTAAATTTATTTTAAAGATATATATATATGTGTGTGTCTCCATATATCCTTAAAGATATATACATATATATGTACATACATATATATATGCACACATACACACACACACATAGACTTTTTTGTGTGTTTTTGTCTTGTTTTTTAAAGATTTTATGTATTTGTCAGAGAGAAAGCACAAGCAGGGGAGGGGCAGGCAGGGGGAGAAGCAGGAAGAGGGAGAAGCAGGCTCCCTACTGAGCAGGGAGCCCGATATGGGACTCTATCCTTGACCCCAGGATCAAGACCTGAGCCAAAGGCAGACATTTAACCAACTGAGCCACCCAGGCTTCTGTCTATCTACCTATATATGCATATATGCATATATATATATATATATATATATATATTTTTTTTTTTTTTTTTTTTTTTTTTTTTCCCAGAGAGCATGGCGTCCGCTCAGGATGAGGGGAAGGGCAGAGGGAGTCTGAGAATCTCAGACTCCCCGCTCAGCAGGGAACCTTGGGAGGCTAATCTCACCACCCTGAGATCGTGACCTAAGCCAAAATCAAGAATGGGAAGTTCAGCTGATTGAGTCACGTGCTGTACCCTGAGAGCAGAGACCCCCTCCGCGGCGCCCTCCCGCGTTCCGTTCACCAGCAATGACCGCCATCCTTCGCCGCGCTTGGCTGGAGCGCCGCCTGGACGTAAACTGCTGACAGCTCCCGGCCTCAGTTTACAAAGTGACCTGGGCCCAAGGCCCCAAGGCCTGCGCGGAGCTCCACTTTTGCCAGCCCCCGACGCTCCCCCACAACCAATCCCATCGCCCCACCTCCCAGTCGCCCCGTCCTTCCAGCGTCTGCCGGCGCTCCCGGCGCTTAAAGCGCAGGGGTGCGGCCGGGTGTCCTGGTGTGAACGGGACTCATCCCGACTCACTTCTCCGACTACCACGGGGGACACGCAGGCCCGGAAGTCCGCTTCACCCCTCAGGTGAACGCCCTGGATCTCCCCACCGACTGTCGCTCGCCCGGGCCCGCGGGCGGTGGACATGGCGCCCTTGCGGCTGCTCCTACTCGGGCCAGCGTCCCTCCTTCTGGTCCTGTCGCTCTGGCCACCCAGCGCAGGTAAGCCCGCGGCGCCGGAGGAACGGATGGTGGCGGGGGAGGGGTGAAGGCTGCGCTCTTCTCCCGGGCCGCTGCAGCGGGGGTCCCACCTGAAGGCCGCGGCCGCCCTTTACTCATTCAATTTTTAGTGATGGCTGCTGGGCACCGAGGGGGCACCTGTAGAGCCTGAGACTGGGTGCCTCCTCTGATTCGGAGCCCAGAATTCTCTGTACTTTTCACAGCCGCTCTTTTGTCACTTTGGGGGCTGGCACGGAGAAGAAAAACTAGGTAAGGGTGGGTGGGTGGGTGGGGAGGAGTGGAAGTAAGGGAAGTACTTCCCGGGTGCTCCTGAGGGTATATTTCACTTTACCGAATGAAGGGAGTATAGCACTTTACTGAAGGGAGCCTTCGCCGAGAGTGTGAGGGAGTGTTTCACCCTCGTGGTGACATTCAAACATCCTCTTGTACTTTTTGGTGGTGGGGGGTGGGGGGGTAATGATGGAGGTTTAATTATCGAACAGGAAACCAAAGGCAGAAGGGCATATGAAGAGATGTTTAAACTCACTACTAGTCATAGAATAGAAGTTAAAACCGTAAGATATCATTTGATATCAATGGGCGGGGCTGTGCCAAGTGGTGGTGGCTGGATGGGTGGGGATGTGGCATTTAGGAGACCCTGGCATGTCCATCACTAGGGCTATGGATGAGCCAAAGGTGGATTCGCATATGAAGAGCTGGTCACTAACCTCAACCAATGGACTAACTGTACACATATCAATGAGAGAGGGTTTGAAACAGTGCCAAGAGGAGAAGCATTAACATCTAACTTCATACTATTTTCATAAGTTTGAGAAACAAAACAAGGCAGTTTTTTTGTTGTTGTTTTTTTAAAGAAAGACCCTATTGAAGGAGTCTTTTTTTTTTTTTTTTAAGATTTTAGGGGCACCTGGGTGGGTCAGTCGGGTAAGCGCCTGCCTTCCACTCAGGTCATGATCCCGGGGTCCTGGGATCGAGCTCTGTGGTGGGCTCCTTGCTCCACGGGGAGCCTGCTTCTCCCTCTGCCTGCTGTTCCCCCTACTTGTGCTCACACACTCTCTCTCCCACTCTCTCTCTGTCAAATAAATAAAATTTTTTAAAGATTTTATTTATTTGTCAGAGAGAGAGAGCACAAGCAGGGCAAGTGGGAGGCAGAGGGAGAAGCAGGCCCCCCACTGACCAAGGAGACTGGTCTGGGACTCATCTCAGGATCCTGGCTGGGGTCATGACCTGAGCCACCCAGATGTCCCACAAAACAAGGCAGTTGTAAAGAGAACAAAAACATGAAGGATTAAACATCTTGGAATGGTTGCCTGTTGGGGTGGGGAGGAGATGGAAATAAAAAAGAATAAATAGTATTTCTATACACTTGTAATGATCAATCCAGAAATAAAATTAGAAAACAATTCTATTTATGAGGACATCAGAAAGAATAAAATACTTAGGTATAAGTTTAACAAAAGAAGCATAACATTTTTACTCTGAAAACTATAAAGCTTTTTTTTTTTTTTAGTTTTATAGTTCATTTAATGGCAACTGGTAATCATCAAATTAGCAATGGCTGTCTTTAAAATTACTACACTAACTTTGCTGTCATTTCTCAAAGATGATCAGATACCCAGAGTCACAGACATTTCCACAAGATACATCATTAATCAGACTCAGTCTGTCACCAGCTTTGATAAAAGCAGGCCTAGGGAAAGAACTAAGTCTGGGGACACATGCATGATGTTAATATAGCAAATGCTTAGCTTGCTCTGATTATTACAAAATCAGGACAGTGAGAATATTCGAGGTTGAAGATAATTTAAGAGGATCTAAATAAGTGAAATGGAAAAACATCCTGTCTTAAATCTTTTCAGGTGACCCTAACAAAAACCTTAGACTGAGTGGCTTAAACAACAGAGATTTATTTCTCACAGTTCTGGAGGCTGGGAAGTTCAAGATCTAGGTGCTGACTGATTGGTTCCTGGAGAGGGGCCTCTTTTCTGGCTTCTGGAGGAATACCTTCTTACTGTGTCCTCTGGTGCTGAGAAAGAGATCTATCATGTCTCTAAAAAGGACACTAATCCCATTCATGAGGGCTTGACCCTCATGATCTAATTACCTCCCAAAGGCTCTATCTCCAAATGTTGCACTGGATATTAGGCCTCAACATAGGAATTTTGGAGAGACACAAACATTCAGTCCATACAGTATCCTAAAAACAGATTCATGGATTAGAAGACAACACTGTTAAGATGACAGTACTCCCCAAATTGATTTAAAGATTCAGTGCGCTTCCTATTAGAATCTCAGTAGACTTTTTTGTAGAAATTGATAAACTAATAATTCTAAAATTCCTATGAAATTGTAAGGGATACAGAATAATGAAAACAAACTTGAAAAAAGAGGAATAAAGTTGAAGGATCTTATGTAGATTAATGTGGGGCTATGAACTAAGGAGCCTCTCTGAGACACCCCCTCCCCCACAAAAGAAGGAATTTGTTTCCAATTACGTTTGAGAGTACCACACCTATGTTTTTTCAAAGGTCCCCCATAACCAAATTCTCTTATTGTGACAGGTTTTCTGCAAGTGGAAATGGCAAAGAAGACTCAGACAGTGTTCTTGAATGACAATGTCACTATTGTCTGCGAAGTCCAGAGTGACCGCCCCCTGAACCTCACGCTTATGGGTGTCACCTGGTTGAGGAAGCATCATATGTCAACAACAGAAGTTACAGTGTTTCAGTATTTTGGAGGCAACCAAATGACAATGCGACCTGGAGCCTCTGTGTCTCTATCGAAGCTGGAAAGAGGGGATGCCTCCCTGCGGCTGCCAGACATCCAGCTGGAGGAAGCAGGAGAGTACAGATGTGAGGTGGTGATGACCCCTAACAAAGCAGTGGGAACCACCCAGCTGGAGATTGTGGGTGAGTGCCTGGAGGCAGGGCCCTGAGGTTGCCATGGTGCTGAGGCTTGAGGTGGATCTGTGGGCCAAACGGAGCAGAGGCTTGGAGCATGGACCAGTGAGTCAGACAGACATGGGTTTGAGTCCTGGGATTCCATGGACAGCTGGACAACTCTGGGCAAGTTCTTATTCATGTAGAACCTCCTTCTGAACAAATGTAATAATACCTACCTAGGAGATTTATTGTGGGGAAGAGTCTATGAAAAATGCAGGTAGCAGAGCATAGCGCTTGGCCCATTGTAAGTGCCCAGTGAATGATAGCTATATTAATTATAATTCACTTAGTGTATGGACAGTGTGTGTTCACTGAAGAGGTGTCTCTGAAAGGTAGCTGGGAAAGGAGAGAGATGCTGGAGTTTGGTTCCATAGGTCTGAATCCTGTTTTAGCTTTGCTACTTCCGTACTGGGTGATTGGGCCAGCCATTTAACATTTTGGGGTCTGAATTTTCCCGTGTACAAAATGGGTTGATAAATCATACCTGTCTCAGAACTTAGGATTCCATTAAGTAATGTATGAATAAATACATTACAAATACAATGCCCAGTTGGGTACTGTTGTGAGGTCCGTACCCAGTGAAGACTTGCAGCAACAGCAACACTATCCTTCGAACACCCCTTTGAGCTTTACTTTATTATGATGGGTCTGATAATATGTAGATGAGCTTTGAGGGGCATATTCATGTGCTAGAGTTGCTGTAACAAAATTAAGCCACTGGGTGGCTTAAATAACAGAAATTTATTTTCTCACAATTCTGCAGTCTAGCAGTCTGAGATCAGGGTATCAGTAGGGTTGTTTTCTCCCCCGAGGCCTTTTTGCTTGGCTTGTAGATAGGCATCTTCTCCCCGTGTCTTCACATATTCTTTCCTCTGTGCACGTGTGTCCTACTCTTCTTATAAGGAGACCAGTCCTATTAGATTAAGGCCCAAGCTAATGTCCCCATTTTAACCTTAATTACCTTAAAAAAGACCCTATTTCCAAATTTAGTCACATTCTGAGGGACAGCGGTTAGGAGTTCAGTATATGAATTTTAAGAAGCCACATTCAGCCTATAAAAAAGAGACAGTGTCTATGAGCCCCCCAATATTGTACTTAGGACTTTTAATATTTTATACATATTAATGTGGGTGATGGGGGTGTTAAATTGGGATTAATTTCCTCTGCAGTTGACAGAAAGCTTAAGATAAAAGTATTTTATTTTGTTAGATTTATTTATTTATTTGAGAGAAAACACATGTGTGCATGGGGTGGGAGGAGGGGCAGAGGGAGAGGGAGAGAGAGAGTCTCAAGCAGACTCCCTGCTTAATGTGGAGCCTGACATGGGGCTTGAACTCACGACTCTTGAGATCGTGACCTGAGCTGAAATCAGGAGTGGGATGCTTAACCAAATGAGCCACACAGGCACCCCAAAATAAAAGTATTTTTAAAAAATTAACAGACTTTAGGGGCACCTGGATGGCTCAGTGGGTTAAGTCTCTGCCTCGGCTCAGGTCACAATCCCAGGGTCCTGGGATGGAGCCCCGAATCGGGCTCACTGCTCAGCAGGGAACCGGCTTCCCCCACCCCCACCCCTGCCTGCCTCTCTGCCTACTTGTGATCTCTGTCTGTCAAATAAATAAATCTTTTTTTTTATTTTATTTTTTTAAAGATTTTTATTTATTTATTTGACAGAGAGAGATCACAAGTAGACAGAGAGGCAGGCAGAGAGAGAGAGAGAGGGAAGCAGGATCCCCGCCGAGCAGAGAGCCCGACGTGGGACTCGATCCCAGGAACCTGAGATCATGACCCGAGCCAAAGGCAGCGGCCCAACCCACTGAGCCACCCAGGAGCCCCAAATAAATAAATCTTTAAAAAAAAATTAACAGACTTTAGATTTTAAGAATAGTTTTATTTATTTTTTCTTTTTAAAATTTTATTTATTTATTTGTCAGAGAGACAGAGCACAAGCAAGGGGAGTGGCAGGCAGAGGGAGAAGCAGGCTCCCCACTGAGCAAGGAGCCCAATGCGGGACTCAGTTCCAGAACATTGGGATCATGACCTGATCCAAAGGCAGACGCTTAACTGACTGAACCACCCAGGCATCCCAGAATAGTTTTAGATTTACAGAAAAATTATAAAGACAGTACAGATTTTTCATATTACTCCCATTTCTGCCCTAACTTCCCTTATTATTAACATCTTGCATTAGTATGGTATATTTGTTATAAATAATGAACCAGTATTGATAATTATTATTAATTACAGTTCATAATTTATTCAGATTTCCTTAGTTTTTAATCTAGTGTCCTTTTTCTATTCCAAAAATCCCATCCAGAATACTACATTGCATTTAGTTTTCATGTGTCCTTAGGCTCCTCTTGACTGACAATTTCTCAGACTTTTCTTGTTTTTGACAATGTTGACCTTCTGAGGAGTAGTGGTCAGGTATATCATCGGATGTCACTCTATTGGCATTTCTCTGCTGTTATTCTTATAATTCACAGGAGTTATGGTTTTGGAAGAGGAAGATCATAGAGGTAAAGTGCCATTTTCATCCCATCCCATCTAATTGAACGATTTATGATTCTTGGTGTTGACCTTAAATCATTTAGCTTAAGTAGTATTTGCCTGGTTTCTCTACCATAAAGGTGCTCTTCTCCCCTTCCTTGTCCTGCTATACTCTTTGAAAGGAAGTCACTCTGTGCAGCCCACTCTACTCTAGCCCTTTAGAATAGAGTAGCTACATAATTTATTTGGAATTCTTCTGCACAAGATATTTGTCTTCTCTCCCCCACTTATTAATCTATTTGATCATTTATTTAAATTCAGGATGGACTCAGGATAATAACTTTATACGTTGGGTTATAATTTAACACTATTTATTTTGTTGCTCAAATTCTTCCAGCTTTGGCCATTGGGAGTATTCTCAGTTGACTCTGTGTCTTTTTGACACACCCTTATCATTGTGGGGTTTTGTTTTGCTTTAGGCACTTCCTTACTTTCTGGCACTACAAGATGCTCCATAGTTTTGCTTTTTCTAGAATGTGATATAATTGGAATTGGAATCATCCAATATGTAGCCTTTTCAGACTGGCTTCCTTCACTTAGTAATAGACATTTAAGGTCCCTTTGTGTCCCTGAGTAACTGGGTAGCTCAGTTAGTTAAGTGTCTGACTCTTGATTTCAGCTCAGGTCATAATCTCAGGGTCCTGAGACTGAGCCCTGCATCAGTCCCTACATTCAACAAGGATTCTGCTTGAGATTCTCTCTCCCCCTCTCCCTCTGCCCCTACCCTCCACTCGAATGTTCTCTCTCTCTCTCTTTCTCAAATTAAATAAATAAACCTTAAACAAAAAGATACCTCTGTGTCTCTTTTTTTTTGGTGGCTTGACAGCCACCAAAAAAGTCTGCATCACTGTTGTAACATCAGTGTTACTACATCACTGAGTAACATTCCATTGTATAGATATACCTAGTTCGTTTATCCATTCACCTATGGAGAAACATCTTGATTGCTTCCAATTTTTAGCAGTATGGAATAAAGCTGCCATAAACATTCAGGTGTAGGTTTTGTGTGGACATTATTTTTCCTCTTAATTGGGTAAATACCTAGGAGTGTGATTGCTGGATCATATGTTAAGACTGTGTATAACTTGTAAGAAGCTGCCAGTTCTTCCAGAGTGACTATATCATTTTGCATTCCTACCAGCAATGAAGGAAAGTTCCGTAGTTCTGTATCCTTGTCAACATTTGGTATTGTTAATTTTTTATATTTTAGCCATTTTTTTTTTAAAGATTTTATTTATTCATATGAGAGAGAGAGAGTATGAACGGGGGAGAAGCAGACTCCCTGCTGAGCAGGGAGCCTGATATGGGACTCAATTCCGGGACTCCAGGATTATGACCTGAGCTGAAGGAAGTTGCTCAACCAACTGAGCCACCCAGGCGCCCCCTTTTTTTTTTTTTTTTAAGATTTTTATTTATTTATATGACAGAGAGAGAGAGATCACAAGTAGGCAGAGAGGCAAGCAGAGAGAGAGGGGGAAGCAGGCTCCCCACCGAGCAGAGAGCCCGATGCAGGGCTCCATCCCAGGACCCTGAAATCATGACCTGAGCGAAGGCAGAGGCTTAAACCACTGAGCCACCCAGGTGCCCCTATATTTTAACCATTCTAAGAGGTGTGTAGTGATATCTCATCTGTTGTTTTGATTTGCAATTCCCTAGTGACATAGGCTGTTGAGGATCTTTCCATTTGCTTTTTTTTGTTATCTGTGTGTCTTCTTTTGAAAGATAATTTGTTTAGATCATTTGTCCATTTTTCAGTTGGGTTCTTTGTTTTCTTGTTGTTGAGTTTTCAGAGTCTAATGTATATTTTATCTTATTTTTTTGAGTCCTCTGTATGTTTTAGATACAAGTTATTTATCAGATATGAGTTTTGCAAATATTTCTTCCCAGTCTATGGCCTGTGTTTTCATTTTCTTAACAGTGTATTTTGCAGAGCAGAAGTTCTAAATTTCAATAAAGTCCAACTCACCAATTTTTTCTGTCATGGAGCCTGATTTTGGCATTGTATCTAAAAGCTCATCATGAGGGGCAGCTGGGTGTCTCAGTCAGTTTAGCATCTGATTCTTAATCTCCATCTCCTCTCAGGTCTTGATCTCAGAGTTCAAGCCCCATGTTGGGCTCCATGCTGGATATGGAACCTATTTAAAATAAAAACATAAATAAATAAATAAATAAATAAATAAAAGTTCATCATGTTTAGGTCTATGATCTATTTTGAGTCAGTTTTTGTGAAAAGTGTAAGTTGTATGTCTAGATGCTGTGTTCAAACTTTATGTATATGGATGTCCAATTGTCCAGCATATTTGTTGAAAATTGCCTTATCTGCAATGAATTGCCTTTGCTCCTTTGTCAAAGATCAGTTGAATACATTTGTGTGGGTCAGTTTCTGGGCTCTCTATTCTGTTCCATTGGTCTATTTG